GAGAACCAGAAGTCCACGCTCCTCCGGGGTGTCCTAAGTACAAATAATACCCATTGTTTTAGCGAACATCAGTAAGCGGGTGTGTGCTTTATCTGTGTGGTGGTTCCTGTTTGCCTGTTTGGTGTGGTCTGGTGAAGGCATTACTCTAATTTTCAAAAATGCATATATTCTTTCTGTAGGAATAAGATGCCGTTGGTGAGCATGAGCTCTAGAGCCAGATCAGTTTGAATCAGTGGCCATAGTCGTTCTGTAGGAGCCAGCTGGGCCTTTGCGGCTGTGCGTAATAAATTTAGATCCACTCTAACTTGTGCAGCGATCAGCGATGAGTGCTGGGACTGCACAGTCCCCAACTGTTTTTGTCCCTAACTGCCAACATACACTGACGACAGCAGAGCAGGAAAGCTGTGTGAAGAAAGCCAGCAGTCCCTCCTGGGACATAGGCTGCCATTCCATTCATCTTAGAGACACCACTTCTCACTGGACATCATACGAATCTGTTTATTATTAGAGAGATTTTTGTTAGAGGGTGCCTGGGCATGCCAGAGAGACAGGAAGTAAGCAATCACCCCCCAGGAGGGATGGCCATGCTGCAATCCCTTCTCCATTCTCCTCTCAGGCTTTTGGGCATGCACGCACACACGTGCCCAGTGTGTTTCAAGCCCCAGGGTCTGGGACTCGAACCGCAGTCGGTCATGTGGGAGTCCAGCAATGTAACCATTACACCATCTGCTGGTCCTTACACCTGCTTTTTAATTGCCAGAGGGCACATGCGCTTGCCAGAGAGACGCAGAGGGGAAGAGGAAGAGAGCACCCGCAGTAAGGCATGGCCACACAATTCCTTCTCTATTTCCCCGTCCTCTCAGGATCCGGGGGAGCACACACACGCTCAGTGTGTTTTTAAGGCCCTGGGGCTGGGACTTCAACTGTGGCTATCCCTGCAGGATTGGGCTCCCTTAACCACTAGACCACGGGGCCAGCCGTCTCACTGGAACCTGTATGAACAAGAAAGTTTTCCTGTACATCAGCACAGTTACACAAGGAATGCCCAGCAGGCCTTAAAGCCCCACTTCCAGCTCTGGGGTCCTTCCACGGGTGTAACCGCATCACCACTGTGAGTTCTCGTGAACCACTCAGCCGGACAGATAGCACGTCACTGTAACCACAGCACAGGGCTACTTCCCTAAACAGAGTAAGCATTTTACAAGTCAGTTCGATAGTCGGTCCATAGGGTATTTAAAAACTCACTGGCAAGGTGAGTCTTAGCAGCTGCACAGAAAGATCTACAGCATTGTTTGGTAATAGCAAAAAATAATTTGGCACAATCAAAATGTCATATGGTTAAATGTGACATGGGAGTATACATATGCAAAATGTTACATAATATTCTCTTAACACTGTTATAATTAATTACCTTGGTTTTTCATATCCACACACTTAGATCCCCAAGACTAACATAGAACAAAAAGAGCAAATCGAGAGGCTGACAGAGGTGCAGCGGCAAACACTGCCCTCTGCAAGGCACTCCCACACAGAAGGTTCCTGCCCAAGGCGGGGGCCCTCCCTGAGTGCCAGGCGCAGCCTGCCCATGGCCCAGGGCTGGCTGAGGCAGGGGGTGGACCACGGAGTCGAGGGCCTCTGGGGCTGCGGTCTCCCTCTCAGCTTCTCACCTGCTCTCAGAAGAGATCAAGGGGAAAAAAGCAAGTCATAGAAGAATGTATAGGTATGGTCCTATTTACGAAGTTAAAAGCAATGCAACACTAAATTATGTTTTTTTTTTTCTTTTTGCTATAGGGCGCATGCGCTCACCAGACAGACAGAGAGAGACAGAGAGACAGAAAGCGAGAAATCACCCCCCATGGGGGATGGCCACGCCGCAATCCCTTCTCCATTCTCCTCTCGGGATCCTGGGCACGCACGCACACGCGCCTGGAGTGTTTTAAGCCACCGGGTCCAGGACGTGAACCACAGTTGACTACGTGGGAGTCCAGAGACATAGCCATTATGCCAACTGCTGGTCCCAAAATTATGGTGTTCTTTAAAGCTGCCTACATCAGGGCCAGCAGGCGGCATGGAGGTTAAGCTGGATCCCACTTGGCCGACTGCAGCTTGGAAATCACGCTGGGCGTATGTGCGTGTGTGCCCTAAATCCTGAGAGGAGAGGAGGAGAAGAGACTGCAGCGTGGTCATCCCCCTGGGATTTCTCACTTTCCTTCCCTCCCCTCCCCCCGTCTCTCTCTAGTGAGCGCACACACCCTATAACAACAAGAAAAATGACCAACATACATGATCAATTTATAAAAAGTGTAACAGAAAGCTAAGCAACAAATGCAGGATAATGAGGCCAACAGGTGGCATGGAGGGTAAGGTGCTGGATCCCACATGGCTGACTGCATGGTTTGAATCCCAAACCCAGTGGCTTGAAACTCAAGCTGGCCGTGTGAGCATGGAGAAGAGACTGCATTGTGGCCATGACCCTGGGAGGTGATTTCTCATTTTCTGTCTCTGTCTCTTCTCTGGGGAGCACACGTGACCTATAGTAAAAACCTTTTTTAAAAAATGCAGGATAGGGATCAGCAGTTAGCATAATGGCTATGTCGCTGGACTCTCACGTAGTCGACCGTGGTTCGCGTCCCCGACCCAGTGGCTTAAAACTCACGCCGGGTGTGTGTGCATGCGTGCCCAAGATCCCGAGAGGAGAAAAGAGGAGAAGGGATTGTGGCATGTCCATCCCCCTTGGGGGGTGATCTCTTGCTTTCTGTCTCTCTGTCTCTCTGTCTCTGTCTGTCTGGCGAGCGCACATGCCCTATAGCGAAAACCTCTCCAAAAAAAAAAAAAATGCAGGATTAATTCCACCAGGGAGACGAGAGCTGAGAGGAGCAAGGGAAGCTGCGGGTGTAACTGAGCACCGAATCCTGCTGACCAAGCCTGTGCATGTGTGGACAGGTGGGCGGATAGATTTTTTTTTTTTTTTAATTTTGCCAACAGGCACACATGCTCGCAGAACAGAGAAGGGGGCTAGGGGAGGGGTGAGAAGAGAAAGCACCCCAATGGGGTGTGGTCACACCACAGTCCCTTCTTCATCTCTCCCTCCTTTCAGAATTTCGGGCACACATGCACGTGTTCTATGTATTTCTCAAGCTGCCTAGTCCAGGACTTGAACTGTATAGTTGGCCATGTGGATTCACCTTAACCACCAGGCCCTGGCTGGCCCAGGGCTCATACTGTTCGTTTTAGACACACTACTCTGCCGTATGATTTACTTCCTGGGGACAGCCGACCGTGTCAGCATGTACGTACGTACCAGAAGCACTGTCATGTTGCTATGCATTGCACATTCTGGCCCTGCAGACCGGTGAAATCTGGAAGACGATTCCGTGGTTTGAGAAGTATTTTTCTCCAGTATCTTTTATTTGTATCATTAAGCAATATAGGGAAGGGTTTTCTTCCTGTCCCTTTTAGTGGTTCCAAAACTTTTATGGTTTAAATTATAGCTCTTGGATAAATTGTCTATTTAGTTTTGAAGGAATTTGTTCCTCTGCAGAGCTATAAAATCCATTGTAAGTGGCAAAAGTTTATAAATCTCTCTGGATCAGAAATGCACCATATTCAGTGAACAAAGCAAGCGAGCAATCAGATATTCCAAGGTCATGGACACATTTTCTTTTCCCCTCACAAGAACAGCTGCTTCGGGGAGCATGAGAGATCACACACCAGCCCTTGGCGCCAGTGCCTACTGCAGTCCTCAGAGAGGATGTTACTTTCTTGTTGGGCTAGCGAGCTATCTCCACCAAGAGTCCAAACTCACTTTAGGAACAACTAGGATGTGCAAAATAGGAAGACGACCATTAGAGAAGAGAAGCAGAGATGAAAGACGGGCCCCACCATGATTCACTCCCAGTCTCAGCCGGCCTGGATCAGGAACACGTGCACACGCCCAGTGCACGTCCAGAGGTGCCACCACTGCGCTGCCACCTGGCCCCAGAGTCTGCACCTCTTTTCCTTTCCTTTTCTCTTTTTGTTCTTTCTTTTATTTATTTATTTTTTTTTAGATTTTATTTTATTCTTTGTTTGTTTGTTTGTTTAACCAAAGGGCACACGCTTATTCACCAGAGACAGAGAGAAAGAGAGGGAGACAGAGAAAGCATCCCACTATGGGGAGAGGTCATATTACAATCCCTTCCTGTTTCTCCATCTTGTCGGGGTTTGGGGCACGCACACGTACACACCCAGTGTTTCTCAGGCCAGGTTGAAGAGGAGCTAGCAGACAGAATAAGAGCCACCAGATGTAGTGGGAGAGAAAATTGGCAAGTAAAACACAAAGGAAAAGTCTCGAGGATTGTTGGCATTAGGAAGTTCCCGATCACAAAGTTATGAAGGGAAGAAATAGAAGACAGTGTCCCTCAACGTTGTCCGCACGTCAGAATTGCCCAGAGGGCATCAAAACGTGGCCACCCAGGACTCAGTCAGGCCAATCCAAATCTCTGGGGAGCAGCGCAAGCACCAGAGGCGTTAGAGCTTGCCAGGTGTGGCCACAGCCAGGAACGAGGGCTGCAGAGGGTGCCCCACTTTAAGGCAGTCTTGCTGAGTGCACACTGTCACACAGCTAACCAGCAGACTTGCACTTTAGGTCACAACTGATCGTTTTGCCCACTCAACATTCCCAGTTGACTCTAACTGAAAGGTAAGAGTTATTCCTTAATATTAATTATCATGCAGAGAGGTCAGCTGCCTTAGGACACAGGAGACGAGAAGGCAAAGTGTGCTGAATGCAGCCCGTCCCCTACACTCACCTCCCAAATAATAGGTGTCGCCAGCACGGATCTGCCCCGCTGGGGAGGGCACGGTGGAGGCTGCGCCACCGTCCACCTGCACACTCAGGTGACCCCTATACTCACCTCCCAAATAATAGGTGTCGCCAGCACGGATCTGCCCCGCTGGGGAGGGCACGGTGGAGGCTGCGCCACCGTCCACCTGCACACTCAGGTGACCCCTATACTCACCTCCCAAATAATAGGTGTCGCCAGCACGGATCTGCCCCGCTGGGGAGGGCACGGTGGAGGCTGCGCCACCGTCCACCTGCACACTCAGGTGACTCCCTTTCGCAGACAAGGACACGGACTCCAGCACGGATCTGCCCCGCCGGGGAGGGCACGGTGGAGGCTGCGCCACCGTCCACCTGCACACTCAGGTGACTCCCTTTCGCAGACAAGGACACGGAATGCCACTGCCCATCATTTAGGCCATCACCTGGGGGGAAGCAGAAGGGTCAAAGCGATTCCTGGGAACCCCACAGATGCCCAGAGACCACGTGCTTGCAGACAGCGGAAGGAGACCACTGGCACATCTGCCTGCCAAACACCACCTCACACTCATCTGGAACCCACCGGGCCCCTGGTTGCTGCGGCGAAGGAGGAAACACCCCCTCTCTGCCAGACAGGGGGCGCTCAGAGGAAGCAGGAGGATTATGAAAAACTGGGGCTCAGGTTCCCTGTTTCCAAGGTGGCATTTAAGTGACTTGGTATCCTGGCCATTTTTATCTAACAGGAAGGTGTTACGCACGTCAGGAAGAGGGGCTTGGGTTCATGTTGTTGTTCTAGGGGGTCCTTGCCTTGGTCTACCTAGGGTTTTCATTCATGTTCCAACGAAAATTATCCTGTTTAGTCGGGAATGCTATAGCCTCATACTCACTGCCAGGGCTGCTTCTCATGTTCCCGTCACTCAGTTAAGTCAGATAAAGAGAGAAAGAAGAAATCGAAATGTGTGGGGTAAAGAGGGAAGGGAAGACGAGGGGATGGTCAAACATTCTACATTGAACGTGAAACATTATTTTCCCTCATTCCAGAGCATCCATAGAATACGTTTCCCACAACTGACCCTAAACAGTCCTATAATAATAAGATATTGTCAATTCCAACTATGTGACACGAGACAAATGTCCCATCTAGTTATTTAATATCTCGGAATGTTGGGGCCGGCAGATGGCGTGGTGGTTAAGAGCACTGGATTCCCACATGGACCACCGCAGTTCGAGTCCTGGACCTGGTGGCTTGCTTTCTCACTTTCCCTCTCTCCCTCTCCTTCTCACTGTGTCCCTCTTTGGTCAAATTAAAATTAAAATGAATAGATAAATAAGTAAAGTCCTTAAAAGTAAAAGTAATCTGGAGATATGGAGAAGTACAAACATTGTCCAAAATTCTGTTATAAAAATAACATGTTTTTCGTTCTTAAAAAAAAAAATACTTATGTATTTATTCATTTATTTTTAAAGAATTATGTATTTATAATCATTATTTTTTCAGTTTTGATCAGAGAGAGACAGAAAGAGAGAGAGCAGACACCAGGTCCAGGACTCAAACCACAGTTGGTCATATGGGAATTCAGCACCCTTAACCACCATGCCACCTGCTGACCCAGAATAAATGTTTTTTTCTTACTTTTGTATATCGTCATTATTTATAATAACCTTAGTAGACTATTTAGAAAATAATCAATAGCTTTTAAAAAATAACAATTCGGGTATTAATAAACATGAACATTTATAGAAGAGGTAAAGGTATAAAAGCATCACATTCAGATGTGGGTGTATGGGACCAGCAGATGGTGCAGAGGTTAATCACTGGCCTCCCACATGGCTGACCACAGTTCCAGTCCCAGACCTGGTGGGTGTGGGAAATTCACATGTGGTGTGTGTGTGTCTGTGTGTGTGTGCCCAAGATCCTGGCAGGAGAATGCAGAAGGGATTGTGGCATGGCCATCTCCACTGGGGGATGATTTCTCACTTTCCCTCTCACTGTCTCGCTCTGGCAAGTGCACGTGCCAAAAGTAAAACCTCTTAAAAAATAAACAAAATGGGGAACCAGCAGTTAGCGTAATGGCTATGTTGCTGGACTCCCACGTAGTCGACTGCGGTTTGCGTCCCAGACCCGGTGGCTTAAAACTCACACCAGGCATGTGTGCGTGCGTGCCCAAGATCCCAAGAGGAGAATGGAGGAGAGGGGATTGCGGCGTGACCATCCCCCCTGGGGGGTGATTTCTCGCTTTCTGTCTCTATGTCTCTCTCTGTCTGGCGAGTGCACGCGCCCTATAGCGAAAATCTCTCCAATAAATAAATAAATAAATAAATAAATAAATAAACAAACAAACAAAATGTAGATGTGTATATGTGTATGTATTCAAGCTATGTACAAACAGAAAAGCTAGAAGGAAAAATATTCTCAAATGTTAACTTTAATATTTGGAAGAGAAAATGTTATTTGTTCTCATGTTGTTAACATCTGATGTTTTTCCAAATTTGCTAGATTCTATATTCAGCTATTGTTATTTGAGTGAGTCTTCAAAAATTTATAGAAAAATGCATATTTTGCCTAGTATGAAAAAGCTCCATGAATTTCAAAATTTTTTTTTTATTTTACTTTAGGGCACATTTATTCTCCAGAGAGATAAAAAGAAAAATAAACAGAGAGGGAAAGTGAGAAAGGACCCCCTGGGGGATGACCACTCCACGATCCTTCTTCTCCATTCTCCTCTCATTATTTTGGGCATTCATACAAACATGCCTGGTGTGTTTTGTAATCTGCTAGGCTCAGGGCTCAAACTGCACAGTCAGTTACATGGGATTCAGCTGCTTTAACCACACACCACCTGGCTGGCCCTGAATATCAAAAATTCTTTGCACCAAAATACTTGTATTTTCATTCCATTTTTCCATGAACTTTTAAAATTCCCTCATGGTATTATTTTTTAATACTGGTTTTAGCCCCTCTAAAGCAATCACCATCTTGAGCCCATGAAGTGAAATCTCGATTTCTTCTTAAAGCAATGGAGTTGGTTCAGTGACCTGGTGACCATGGCCACCACCACTCAGCATGAGTGTTCCTGAGCAGGTTCTTTTCTTTTCTTTATTTTAAAGAGATTTTTGCTACAAGACATGTATAAACAGAGAGATAGGAGAGACAGAGAAACAGAAAGTGAGAGATCACTATTCAGGGAGGTGGCCACACACGTCTGGTCTGGTTTTCATGTGGGATCCAGCTGTCTCAACCACCAGGCTGGCTGTGTGGTTCCAATTCCTGAACCAGTGGCTTGAAAACCATACCAGGCATGTGTGTGTGTGTTGTGTGTGTGTGTGTGTGCATGCCCCAAATCCAGAAAGGAGAAATGGAGGAGGGACTGCAGTGTGGCCATGCCCCCAGGGCGTGCTTTCTCACTTTCCTTCTCTCTCTCTCTTTCTGTCTCTCTCCAGTGAGTGCATGCAAATACCCTCTAACAACAACCAAGAAACCACCAAAGATGAGAGTATGATGCTTTTGTTTGTTTGTTTGTGGAGTGGTTTTTGCTAGAGGGAGTGTGAGCTCACCAGAATCATAGAAAAGCAAGAAATCACCCCTCAGGGGGGATGGCCATACCACAATCCCTCCTCCTCTTGGGATCTTGAGCACGCATGCACACACACCGCATGCACACACGCCCGGTGTGAGTTTAAGCCACCTGGTCCGGGACTTGAACCATGGTCAACTATATGGAAGTCCAGCAACATGGCCATTACGCCAACTGCTGGTCCTGAGAGTATGTGATTCTTTTTGATGCTATTCCCAGACATGTAATGTGCTGACCTGACTCTGAACTGACGACTAAGGGGGCGTCTCAAGATAGTTAAGTCTTAGAAACAATAAAGGCTGTTACATTAGACATAGACATTATTATCGGATACTTTAGCTCCAAAGAAAATATGTTCTTACCTCCTGCACAAACTGAATATTCTAATATAAAATTAAATATTACAACTTGGTATTCTTTACCCAACTGAGCATACACATGAATTCCCTCCCATGCTCTTCAAACCAGCTTCTCTCCATTCGGTTTCTACGACGACTCTATGTGGAAGGAAGGAAGTTTCTGACTTGACCCAAAGGTCAGAGATTTGGCCCAGCACAGTCCCAACTCTGCTTTCAGCCTTTGCTTTGACGTTTCCTAGCACATCCAAGGAGGGGAGAGTTTCAGTCGCCCGACTCCTATCACTCTGCCCTGTGCACACATTCAATATGATAAACACGCTTGACCCTCACTTTGTTTTGTATTTGCGAGGTCAAAAAAGTTTCCAGACTCAACAAAGGGGTTCATGATAGATAATAAGAAAAGCCAAAAACTACATGGGGAGGATTTAGACTAGATACTTCAAACGTATTTTATAAGGTTGCCCCTGAAACAGGATTCCAGAAGCTCCAGAGCGATGAAGATGGACCACGACCAAAGTCTCCGACCGTCCTTCCCAGCCTTTTCATTCCGTGTTCCTACTTAAAAGTGACACAGAGAAAGATATGCAAGCTATTGCACTTCTCATCTGTTAAAGCAAGCAAAAATACCAGGAGAAAAACAACGCTTAGTACCTTAGTCAAAAAATATCGCTCATATTGCAACATAAAAGCTCAAAAACTGGGGCCAGCAAGTGGCGTGGTGATGAAGGAGCTGGACTCCCACACTGTCCACAGTAGTTAGAGTCCCAGACCCAGAGGCTTGAAAATCATGCTGAGTGTGTGTGTGGATGCCCAAAACCCCAGGAAAAGAATGGAGGAGAAACCATTGCAGTGTGGCCATGCCCACGGGGGGTGATTTCTCACTTTCCCTCTCTCTGTCTCTCCTGTGAGTACATGCACCCTATGGCAAAAACCTTAAAGAAAAAAAAAACTTAAAAATTGGTTTGCCCTGTAAGTTTTCAGTGGTGGCTTCTTCACCACTGTGTGGTTGTTTTGGGGAAGGGCAGCAGGTCCCCGCAAGAAACAACTGCGTAAAGCTGTCCCCTTTAGTTAATACTGCACGCCGACACTAAACTATACAAGCCAAGTCGGCCAATTCACTGACTCTGAAGTAACACCATCAGCTTGGCCCGTTTCTACGCTCCTCAAGGAAACTCGGCATGCAGCTGCTCAGAATGTTTTTTTTTCCATGAAAAGAAAGAAAAATTTAAGTTTTCCTCCCAGGTTTTCAGACCAGTAGGCAAGGTACTCCTCCCACATTCAACAGTCATGGGGCGACATGCTCGGTTTGACTTGGACTTAAATCTGTATCAGAATCTATGTGCAAAAAGGGCCCAAAGTTCAATGATAACGTGACTTTACAAGTCACTGTAGAAATAAAAGAATAAACGTGTCCTTTCTGGAATACGAGAGCAGAACATCCACTGTAGTAATAAGAAGTCTTATCAAAAACAAGAAGCCCCGACGGAGCGATTCCGACAAGATGGAAAACATAACTTAAAGAATTCTGAAAACCACTGACTGCACAGGTTCAAAGGACAGTTGAAAGAGACCTGCCTCTCATATCTACATATGATTAGGTTAATGTCTTCTGTCAAGTTTAGCTCTGGGTACTATCAATTTACAATAATGAGTCATGTTTCAATCTTTTTTTTTTTTTTTCAAGAAAAGCAGTTTTAACTTCAATAAATCAAAGAAATGCTAAGGAACTTTGCTTAAAACTTAAAGCCAGGAAATAGGTTAGGGTTCTGTTCAAATAGTAGGTACATGAACCTATCCACAGCTCAAGACAGGATAAAAATCTTGAAAACCAAACAACAAAGCCTAGAAGAAAATCAGCAATATTTTAGTCAAAAATCATAAAATGCTATTTCACCAGTTCAATCTCATGTACTTTATCTTCTGTTGTGGTTCAATCTTCCCGATTGGATCCTGGGATATAATATTCAACTCCAGGCCTGTGCCTATGATTAAGTTGGTCCTTTCCTTAGTTTTTGAACTCTTATTTCTATGTGTCTGTATTTAATTTTCCTGTATAACACTCCCTTGAAAACTTCTTGGAGATCTGGACTGGTGCTGGTAAATTCTTTCAGGTTTTGTTTATCTGAGAATGTTCTTGATTTTTCTTCCCACCTAAAAGATAATCTTGCCGGGTACAGTATTCTTGGTTGAAATTGCTTTGCCCTTAACACTTTGAATATATTTTCCCATTCTTTCCTCACTCACATTGTTTCCGATGAGAGGTCTGCTGTTAGCCTGATGGGATGTTCTTTGTAGGTGACTTGCCATTTCTCTCTTACCAATCTTAGCATCTTGTCTTTGTCTGTGGTTTTGGTCAATCTGGCTATAATGTGTCTTGGAGAAGATCTTCTCGGGTTGATTCTATTTGGGGTCCTTTGTATTTCTTGGGTCTGGATCTTAGAATGCCTCTCTAGGTTTGGAAAATTTTCTTGCAGGATTTCATAGAATAGATTACCAATGCCCTTATGAGTCTCTACACCTTCTGGGATACCAATTATCCATATGTTTGGACATTTAATGGTATCTAGTATTTCTCGTATATTATTCTCATTTTGGGGGGCCATTTTCTCAGTCTTCGTGGTGGATTTTTCTAGGCCAGCAATTTTCTCTTCTACATCTGAGATTCTATTTTCTGTATGATCCAATCTGCGTTCAATACTTTCAAGGGAGATTTTGACTTCTGTATTATAGCCTTCATCTCTAACAGGTCCATTTGATTTTTTTTTTAAGTGTTTAATCCCTCTTTTAGATCTTGCAAGAATTTCCTCACCTACTGGAACTCATCAGCTCCTTTCTCCTTTCTCCTCTGCAGTTCATTGTCTCTTCTCTTCCATCTCTGTTAGCTTCGCCATTATGAATATTCTAAATTCTTTATCAGACATTTCCATGATTTCCATTGAACTGTGTGTGGATGAAGAGGAGCTATCCTTTTCCCTTGGAAGAGAGGTATTTTCTTGCTTTCCCATATTTCTTGTGGCCCTGTGGTGATTTCTGGTCACCTGATGGATGGTGTGTTTCTTCCTGAACTTGAAGTTCAGTCTGAGCATTCAAGAGTGCACAGAAAGAGGTGATCTGGAATTTCTTTGCTGTTCCATTTTGATCCCACTCAAGTTTGTGGACTGGAGGCTGAATTTTCTACTGAAGATTTTCAGTAGAAAATCTTCATTTCTCTTTTTTGCCCTGAAATCACTAGTTCTCAGGAGCCATGAAGGTGTCTTCTTCTGAAGGCCTGCCCCTTGCCTCTCCTCAACCCTGTCTTTTTTTGTTTTCAATTACCACAGGGTGTTTGTGTTTGTCAGAGAAAGAAGGAGAGAAAGAGAGAGAGAGAGAGAAATTGCCTACCCCCATAGAGTGTGGGCATACTGCAATCCCTTCCCTTTCATTTCTCCATCCTGTTAGAATTTGGGGTATGCACACATGCAAGGCGTGTTTTTCAAGCCACTGGGTCTGGGATTCAAACTGTGATCAGCCATGTGGGATCTGGTACCCTTAACCACTAGGTAAAAGTTAGCATTGTTTTTAACTTTTTGACAGTTTTGCTTTGGTGTGGCTATACTTCTGGCACACAGACTCACACATGAACAGCAGGTAAGCAGCTACTATTCAAAGGGAAATCTAGTGGGATCATAAATATCTTTTTAAAATTTAGTTTTTTATTTTATTTTGTTATTATTGTTTTTAATATTATTAATTTTTAATTTGACCAGAGAGAGACAAAGAGAGAAAAAGGGAAAGTGAGAAAGCAAGCTGTTAGGTTTAGGTTTCAAACTGCAGTCAGCCACATGAGAATCCAGCATCTGAACCACCAGCTCCCATGAATATCGTGTTGATTCAATTACTCGCTTACATTAAAGAGCACTAATCTTGGGCTTAAATGTAGGGGTGACAATCGTGGCAAGCATGCGCATCCTCTGAGAGGAACGCATTTATTATTACCTGCTGTGGTGTCCCTTGCTGGGTGTCCAGGCTGTGCGAGACTCAGTTTGAGTTTTCCATCATTAAGAACGAGAACAAGAGCCCCTGAACCATGTAGGAGTTGACTGGCCAACAAAAGCCCCACTCTGTTCCACGTCCGAAATTGGAAAGTGACGTCCATTTTGTCCTCTCCGAGAGCGCCCGGCAGAGCCAAGTAATTCCTGGGGCTCAGAAAAGTCACAGGGACAGTCTGAGGGTGCGAACAGGAGAACGACACATTTCCCTGAGAACAGAGGGAGAGGGAATTGGGAATGGGAGGGAGAAGTGCATTAGCAATAGACTCTCCAAGACTCACGGTGTCTCTTTGGCCTCTGGCATGCTAGGGTTTTCAAAACTAGAGCTCCCCAGCCAATCGAAATGTCTGGCATTACCTCCTAGGTCCCTCGCACCAAAGCACTGTGAGCTGGGCCAACCTACGTCTGACTCACCTCGTCCTCACCTCAGCATTGGAAACGGAATCTCAGACGGCTCTTTCCCAGCCCTGCTGTGGGCCTGGACACAACTGACAAGATGTTCCCATCCCTCCAGGTGTCCAGAATCCTTACCCGGTGAGCACCGGCACTGAGGGCCATCTGCTCCAAGAGCTTGCCCTTACTTCCCTTGATTACGTAGCTGTGATTATGAGTCTGTCACGCAGAGGACAGGCAGGGCTTACTCAGAAACGAGGTGAGGTTTTCACAAGTCTAGAAAAAGCTGGTGGGAAGGCTAGATGCCCCCGGAGGCAGGCCGGCTTCCTCTCCGAAGCACCTGCAGAACCACTGGCCGCCTTGCCCAGTGCGGTCACTGAGTCTAAGGTCAGACTTCCTGCCTGGCAGGAATGATTCCAATTATATGGAATTCTGTTCGTTTTCCAATTATATGTAATTCTGTTCGTTTTTAAATTTGCCACAGGGCATATGCACTTGCCAGAGAAAAACAGAGAGAAGGAAAGTGTGAAAGCACCCTCCAGGAGGGATAGCCACACCACAATCCCTTCTCCTCCATTCTTCTCTCAGGATTTTGGGCACGAACCCACACACACCCAGCATGTTTTTTAACTTGCTGAGTCTGGGACTCAAACTATATAGTCAGCACGTGGAATTCAGCTGCCTTAACTACCATGCCTAGCTGGCCCTTTATTTAAATTATGTTTTAAAGCTATTTCTTGCTTCAGGGACATTTTTTTTTTCTAGAGAGAGAGAGATTTTTGCTATAGGTCATGTGCCCGCACCAGAGAGAGAGAAAGTGAGAAATAACCACCCAGGAGGGATGGCCAAGCTGCAATTCCTTCTCTTCCATTCTCCTCTCAGGATTTTGGGCATGCATGCACATTTGTACAACATCAGTTTTAGGCCACGGGGTCTGGGACTCAAACCGTGGTTGACTATGCGCGAGTACAGTAATGTAACTATTTTGTCATCTGCTGGTCCCAAAATTTATTTTTTATCACAGTGTTCTCATAGAAAGATAATAATTTCAATTAAAATCTCCACAAAAGGGACCAGCAGGTGGTATAGTGGTTAAGGCACTGTACACTCCCACATGGCTGACCATGGTTCAAGTCCTGGACCTGGCAGCTTGCTTTCTTACTTTCCCTCTCTGTGTGTGTGATCAATTAAAATAACTGAATGAATAATTAAAATAAGATAATTCTTTAAAAATATCTCCACAAGAATTTTCTCCTGGGATTGGATTAATTTTCACATGGAAAAACACATGCCCCCAAAACAGACCTTCATCTCCAAAATACTATGCAAAGAAAAGCAGTGAGATGGAGCTTAACTTACCTGATACCGAAACAAGCTATCAAGTCACCGGAACGAAGCACCGTCTCACAGGCGAATTACAGGAACGAATAACTAACCTCAGAAAGATGGGAAACTATAACTACAGTAAGAAGGAGCTCAAGTCTGTGTGGGAGAGTTTGGGTTCGTCATTAAGCAGTATAGGAACAAACAGATATTCATAAGGCAGAACATAAAAACTTGATCCGTATTTCACATAAATAAGAATAAAGTCCAAAAAAAATCAAAGACTTAAGATAAATAAGTAAAACCAATTTTACTATTCTTGCAAGAAAATCCTGAAGGCTACAGATTGACTCCAGGGTTGCAGAGACATGCCAAGGCAAGACTGAACACTCCAAAGTGAGGAAGAAATGCATAGACTACTGACCTCATATGGATAAAAACATTATGTACTCAATCTTTCATGAAATACGTAATGTGGAATTGAAAAATCTACATTAAATTAAAAGTTGATCACAAATGACAAAGGGTTAGCTATCAAATAAAAAGTTCTCAGAAACTGACAAGAAAACGTCAAAAACCAAAAACAAAACAAGAGAGGAGGACAAAAGAATACAAATGAACCATGATTAGAAAAACAAATCCAAACGGACAAAAAGCACACAAAGACCACTTCATCAGCAGTAGTCATATAAAAGGAAGTAAGAATAAGGTATCGGGCCAGCCCATGGCCTGGTGGTTAAGATACCCAGCTAGATCCCGCATGTCTGACGACTTGGGGAAAGAGCAGGTAGTGACGCAGACCAAAGGGAGAAAGAAAGCAAGGGACACCAACGAGAAGGAAAGAAGCCCGGAGGTGACATCGGGAAGACGGCAGGTTAGGACACCCAGGCCTGTCCTTCCTGCCACTGCCACAGACTGACTGATACCCAGATCAGTCCCTTTGTGAGAAATTCAGAACCAGTAAGAGGCTCCTACACCCCAAGGGTGTAAGAAATTGGCAATGCTGAAGCCAGGAGGAAGATCTGAGAAATGCTTTGGCACAGTCCCCTCACCTCCCCAGGCACAACGTCATATGATTAGTAGGATACCCCTGCTCCAGCTTCTCTCTGGGAGATTGGTTGGAGGGGTTGGAGGCTGAGTTCAATCACCAATGGCCATCAGTTTAACCAATGCCACCAACATGTGAAATATCCATTGGAGCCTCTAAATGGCAGGTTCTTGTGAAGTAGCGAACACACCTAGGAGACAGGAGTATGGCAGGCTACAAGGCGTGATGTCCACGGCTCCTGTACTTTCAGACCTCGCTAAGTACTTCTTCATCTGGCTGTTCAGTACTACCCTTTAAAACAAACCAGTAGTAATAAGTAAAGTGTTTTCCAGAGTTTTGTGAGTCATTGTAGCAAATTAATTAACCTGACTGGGAACCCTCCGACTATGGGGTCAACTCAAACAGAAGTAAGGGTGATGTGGAGACCTGGTATTTGCGAATAGCATCTAAAGCAAGGGCTGTCTGGCACGACTGAGCCCTCTCAACTATGGAGTCTGACACTAGTTAACTCTGGATAGTCAGTACTAGAACTGCACTAAATTGTAGGACACTCTGTATTCAGAGAGTGAGAGAACTAACATCACATATTGGTGTATGAAGTGTTGTTAGCAGAAACAGTTCACTTCCCTATCAAAAAAAATTACTCCAAGGAATGAATATAGACCTTCTCAATCAAAAGACATAAAGTGTCTTAATGGATTAAAAAATAAAACCAAGATCCAGCTATATGCTGTATGCTGTCCATGAGAGACTCACTTTAGATATAAGGACACACATCAGCCAAAAGTAATGGGATGGTGAAGAGATATTCCATGCAGATTGCGGTAAGAAGAGCATGGCTAAACCTGTATCAGACACAATAGACTTTGAGTCAGAACCTATCACAAGAGGCAAAGCAGTCATCATACAGTGATAGCAGGTCAATTCTCCAGGAAGGTCCAACAATAATAAATGCACATTTGCCCAACAACAGGGTACCTTAAAAATAAAGCAGACATTGACAGAACTGAGAGGGTCTGTAGTAATAGTAATAATAGTAAGGGACTTTAATACTCAACTTTCAGTAATAGAAAATTCATACATAAAATCAGCAATAAAGCAAGCTTGGGTCAACGCTATAAGCTAAGTGGGCAGAACCATCCACTCAACAACAGAAAGACATTTTTCTCAAGCACACATGGAACATTCTCCAAGACAGAACAAACTTTAGGCCACAAAAAAAGCTCAACAAATTTAAGAAGGCTAAATTTCTTTTTCTTTCTGTTGGCTTTTCTGATCACAATGGAATGAAACTAGAAATCAACAGCTGAAGGAAAACTGGAAAATTCACACGTATATGGAAATTAAACAACACATTCTTGCACAACCAATGGACCAAAAGAAAAAATTAAAACAGAAATGATAAAATATCTTGAGTAAAATGAAAATGAACACAGCATACCAAAACTCACAGGATTCAGCAAAAGGATAACTAAAAGAGGAGTTTATAGTGATAAATGTCAACTTTGTATAAGTAGAAAGATCTCAAACAACTTAACTTTACACCTCAATGAACTAAACAATGAAGAACAAAATAAGCCCAAAGTCAGCAAAAAGAAGAAAATAATTATTGGGACAGAAATAAATGTAATATAAAACCAATAGAAAAAACTCAATGAGTATGAGTTGGACTTTTGAGAAAAAAAATTAACAAAACTGACAAATCTTTAGTTATACTAAAAGAAAAAGGGGGACTCAAATCAGAAATGAAAGAGTAGGTAGATATTACAACTGATGTCATGGAAATAAAAAAGAACCATGCGGAACTATTACAATTATACATAAATTGAATAACAATAGGAGAAATGGACAAATTCCCAGAAACATAACACCTATGAAGACTAGATCATAAAGAAATAAAACATCTTGGGGACCAGCAGTTAGCGTAATGGCTATGTCGCTGGACTCCCACATAGTCGACCGCGGTTCACGTCCCGGACCCGGTGGCTTAAAGCTCACGCCGGGCGCATGTGCATGCGTGCCCAAGATCCCGAGAGGAGAATGGAGGAGAAGGGATTAAGGCATGGCCATCCCCTCTGGGGGGTGATTTCTCGCTTTCTATCTCTCTGTCTCTGTCTGTCTGGCGAGCGCACGCGCCCTATAGCAAAAACCTCTCAAAAAAAAAATAATAAAACATCTGAACAGAACTATAGCTAATAAGAACACTGGATCAAAAATTAAAAATCTCCCAACAAAGAAACACTCAGATCCAGGTTTCACTGGTAAATTCTATAAAATATTTAAAAAAAAAATAAAAAACAGTCTTTCTCAAACTCTTACAAAGACATTGCAGAGCAAAGAACCCTTCCAAGTCATGCTAATAGGCTGGCAATACCATGACAGCCAAGGATAACACATTAAAAAAAAAATGAAACTCTAGGCCAATGTCCCTGATGAACATAGATTTAAAAATCCACAATGAGAAACCAGAAAGCTGAGTTGAACACCACACTAAAACGATGACATTCATGGAATTTATCCCCGGAATGCAAGGATGGTTCAGCATACACAAATGAATAATGTGGTATACCACATTAACAAACAGAAAATAAAAATCCCTTGATCACAATAGATGAAGAAAAAGTGCTTGACACAATTCAACACCTTTTCATAATAAAAACTCTCAATAATTAGGAATACAAGGATATTACCCTAACAAAATAAAGGCCATATTTGAACATCCCACAGTCAATATCATGCTCAATGGAAGAAAACTGAAAGCTATTCCTTAGACATCAAGATCGATCAAGACAAGGATGCTCATTCTCACCATTAGCATTCAGCACAGGATGGGAAGTCACAGAGCAATTAGGCAAGAAAAATAAATAAAATGCATCCACATTGGAAAGGAAAAAGTAAAATTATCTGTTTCCAGATGACATGATCTTTTATGTGGAAAACCCTAACTAATGAACAATTTAGTAAAAGTCCATGATACAAAATAAACATACATAAATCTGTTGCGTTTCTGTACAACAAACTATCCAAAAAGGAGATGAAGAAAGCAATCTCACTTACAATAGCATCATAAAGAATAAAATACTGAAAATAATTAACCAAGGTGGTGAATAACTCAATACTGACAGAACACTGAAGAAAGTAACTAAAGACAGAAATGAATGAAAAGATATACTATCTTTTGATGCATTGGAAGATTTAATACTGTTAAAAAATGTCAATACTGGGCCAGTGAGTGACACGGTGGTTAAGGTATGGATCCCACATGGCTGCATGCATGGTTCAAGTCCCAGATCTTGCAGATTGAAGACCATACTGGGTACATGTATGCGCATGCCCAAAGTCCAAGAGGAGAGTGGAAGATAAGGAATTACACTGTGGCTATTCCCCTGGTGGTATTTCTCAATTTCCCTCTCTCTGTCTCTCCAGTGAGCACATGTGCCGCAGGGGGGAAAAAAAAAAAAAAAGTCAGTGCTACTCAAAGTAATAAACAGATTCAATACAAGTTCTGCCAAAATTCCAATGGCAATTTTTAAAGAATTTTTTTTTTAAGTCCACAGGACCAGCAGATGGCATAATGGCTACATTGTTAGACTCCCATGTAGTCGACTATGGATCAAGTCCCAGACTCGGTGGCTTAAACTCACGCCGGGTGCATGTGCGTATATGCCCAAGAAACCAAGAAGAGAATGGAGAGGAAGGGATTGTGGCATGGCCATCCCTGCCGGGAGGTGATTTCTCACTTTCTGTTTCTTTGTCTCTCTCTGTCTTTCTGTTGAGCACATTCGCCCTATAGCAAAAATCTCTCCCCCCAAAAAGAAGTCATATGGTACCATCCTTGTATAGCCAAAACAATCTTGAGAAGAATAAAGCAAGAGACAACACATTCCATGGTTGCAAACTACATTACAAAACTATGGGAATTAAAATAGCACATAGACATGTCAACCAAAGGAACTACAGAGTCCAGAAATAAAACCGTGCAAATACAGTCAGCTGATACTCCACGAGTAATCAAAATACACAGTGAGGAAAGGATAGTCTTCAACAAGTGAGGGTGGGAAAACTGGATGTTCACATGCAAGGAACCATAACTAGGTGCTATCGACACCATACACAAAAATCCACTCAGAATGGATTAAAGGCTTAAATGTAAGACCCTGGCAATGTTAAACTCAAAGAAAACATAACAGAAAATGTCATCACATTGCTCATGGCAATGATTTTTTGGAAATGACACCAACACCACATTTAACAAATGCGAAAGTAGACAAGTGGGACTATTTCAAGCTGAAGAAGTGCTCCACAGCCAAGGAGAAAGGACAGCAGAGTACAAAGGCAGCCTGGAGAGAGGGGAGTATTCGCCAATCTGCCTCTGAAAAGGGGTTCCCTGATGTCCAACTCCCATAACTCAGTAGCGAAAACAGTCCAATCTAAAAATGGGCAACGGAGTTGAATATGCATTTTCCCAAGAAAGGAATACAAATGACTGACAGATATCTGAATAGGTAGTCGACATCCTCAGGGAAATGCAAATCAAAACTGTAAGAAATTGCATCATACCTGTGAGGATGGTTAATATCTGAAAAAGCAAAAGGTAAGTCTTGGTGAGGAAATGTAAAACTTGGAAACCTGATACACTGTTTGTGAGAATATAAAACGGTACAGCTGTCACAGGAAACAGTATGGAGAGTCCTAAAAAATTAAAAATGAAACTACCATACAGAGACAGCAGGTGGCTAACCATGCTGGACTCCCATGTGGCCAACTGCGGTTTGAGCCCTGGACCTGGCAGCTTGTTTTCTCACTTTGTCTTCTCACTTTGTCTCTCTCTCTCTCTCTCTCTCTCTCTGGTGAGGTGCACATGCCTATAGCAAAGTAAAAAAAAAATAATAATAAAATAAAATAGTTGTTTAGGAAAAAAACTATCATATGACCCACCAATTCTACTTCTAGGTGTTCACCAAAAGGTTTTAAATCAGGATCTCAAGGAGATTTTTTTCACTCCATGTTCGCTGTAGCATTACTCACAAATGCCAAAATATAGAAACAACTGAAGTGTTCACAGTGGATAAAGAAAATGTCACATATAAATAAAATGGATTATTATATAGCCTTGAAAAAGAAAAATTTCCTGCCAAATGAGATAACACAGATGAGTCTAGAAGACATAGTGACAAGTGAAATACACTAGGCAAAGGACAAATCTGCATGGAATTATCTACAGCAGTGGAACTCACAGAAGCAGGGAGTGGGATGAGAGCTGCCCGTGGCTGGGCCAGAGGGTGAACTGCTCCACAGCCATGATAGAGTTTCAGTGTGCAAGCTGAATTGTCCTAGAGGTCTGCTCTACAAGAGCATGTCTACAATTAACAATAATTACTGCACATTCAAGATGTAAGTCAGAGAGTGGACTTGAGCACAATTAAAAAAAAAATGAAAAGAAAAAAGAAATACACTGCACTAAGAACTGTTGTATGACCACACTTAAACATCTTGCTAAGGTTACACGTGTCCCCTACTTACATGACAGGTAAGTCAGGCATGAACTACCAAGTCTCTATGACTGGCACTTTTCAGTAGACGTACATCTTAAACTGGATAAACTAAACACAGCTTCCTCTCCCACTGAACTCGCACCCAGACTTTCTTACCATGATGAGAATGTGTGGGCTATGTCTCTTGGCTAAATCACTGATATCCACTCCGTTGTAATAGAGATTTTCAAAACACCCATGAAAGTTTTTATGTGGGAACACCACTGATTTTCCATGTCCAGGAATCCCTCCAAAGCTGATCTTGGAAAGAAAAAAAAATGACATAAATAACACTGCTTAATGATTTTTCATTATCTGCCTAAAACACTTATGATTAGCAGGCACAGTGATAAGTACCTTCAAATCTATTTTGTATTATTTTGCATTGCCATTTTAATTTCAAATGACACCAAATGAAGGTTTAAGATATAAATTATCACTGTCTTTTCTATTTACATACAAATATTATAACCCCACTTTATAACCTGCTGGTCAAATGACTTTGTCATTATTTGTGGGTGGGACATACTGCATCTTCTATTTCCCAGGCAAATCTCAGTCGGTGAAATAATGTGTCCTACTGCGATGGCTTTTCAGCTTTCTAGACCTTTCTGCTGGGCAGGCATCCCGGTGCTGGTCTTTGCCATGACACTGATACATAGAAAGCCACTGACAAAGGCACAACAGGATTTCCAGCCGGAGTCTTCTGCTGAGGCCAAATGAAAGTCAGGATTTCCTGGCCTGCTTGTTAGAACAGATGTGCTGAGTGGACCGGTCAAACAGAGGCCAGTTTCAGGGTCCGGCAGAGAATGAGGACAGTGTGCTACAGCCATGGGTGCGCCTTTAAAAATCTAAGGGAAAAGGGCCAGCAGATGGCACACTGATTATGTCGCTGGACTCCCTCCCGCATGGCCCCTGCAGTTGGGCTCCTGGACCAAGTAGCTTGAAACTCCTGCTGGCCGCGTGTATATGCGTGTCCGAGATCCCGGGAGGAGAAGGGAGAAAGACACAGTGTGGCCATCCTCCCTGGGGGGTGGTTTCTCACTTTCCCTCTCACTGTCTCTGTCTCTCTAGTGAGCATATGTGCCCCAAGGTCAAAACCTCTTACATAAAAAAATCTAAGGAACATTATTAGATTCGTGTGCATTCTGCGCTCTCCTTACTTGTAAGTCAGGGAGATGATACGCTGACGACCCCTCCGAGTAACCCTCGGGCACTTACTCAGTTTACGAGAGCAGTAAGGCAAGAAGCAGTCTGCAGATTCACAAGCACCAGACACAAGCAGGAGAGCTGACAGCGGTTTAAAATGTGGCTTGCTGTCCTGACAGCTCTCCATCGACAGACAGACGTCCTGAGCATAACGGGGGCCTCCTGGCTCCATCTGGAGGCTGACGTCTGTCCAGGACGAAATGCCCCACAGCAGGGGCAAGTGGCTACTGCTCTACAACCGCCACACAGGATTCTGAATTACATTCCCTAGAGGGTTATTCTGCATTTAAAAGATCAAATCTGTAATACTTCAAAAGTAATTTTCACACCTCATAATCACGACTCAGAGCGCGGGAGTGCCCCTGTGGCTGGAGGCGCTGGGTGTGTCTGTCCACGGTGAAGGTGACATGCGTGTGCAGGAGCTCCACCAGGACCGAGTGCCAGTGCTCGTCATCCAGAAGGCTGCCCAGGGCCAAGGCCCCCCGCGCGCCAGGGGAGGGCAGGTCAGCACTGCCTGAGCAGGAAGAGGAAGGACACCAATCCTGCTAGGCTGGCATTTCTGCCACCATTACACTTTCCTTACCTCCTTCAGGCCTTCTAGCTAGCCAGCTGGGTTTATCTTAGTCTTAAATACAATCTACTTTCACTTGAGTGGTTTCTTCTGTCTTGTTTTTATAATGATTGCTCATTGTATTTTAATGATTGCTCACTGCATTTTAATGATTGCTCACTGCATTTTAATGATTGCTCATTGCACTTTAATGATTGCTCACTGCATTTTAATTGTTCTTGAAGCACCTTCCTAGGCCCTCCTTCACACTATCACCTTGAAGTTTTGCAGGACTGAGTGTCATCGTTACAATGTTACCATGCTATTCCCCACCCTCTGATACTGGTCTGCATGATGGCCACACTGTAACACTTTTTAAAACACATTCAAGCTATAATGTTGCGTGAAAACCCCTAAACGGTAGGGTGACCTGTCCTGTTACTACACGGTTCTGGCTTCTCTCTGTTGCTGCAGGAATTACTTACTTCAATCCATCTCAAATATGTTCTCACTTCAGGACAAACGACTGTGCAGAAGTACCACTCTGGTGCGGGCAGTGCAGCAGGGGTGTGGTGTGGCTGGACCCACATGGGAGGGTCCTGAGTCTGCACCCGGGACCGCCCTGGGCACACCAGGCACACACGTGATCAAGGCCACAGGTCGCGAGCAGGTCACGTGTGGAGGCCCTGCTGGGATGCCTGTCTCTCTTTCTCTGTGTCTCTCTCAGGAAAGAAATGAATAAATAAACTTTAAAAAACCCACTTTTATCTAAATGATTACGTTTTCAGAAAGTCTATCTTACACTTTTTACCTGAATTGAGGAATAAGACAAGTTTTCCTTTAACTAATTCCAAGGTGAGGTATTCGCCATCTTGTCCTCTGTGGAGAAGAATCCCATCACTCTGCCTGGTTTTAAATTTCAAAGAAATAACGTCTTTGGTCGGACTCACGGATGTGTGATTAAATGTGTACAGCAAGCAGCTCTTCCCGTCAAAATGAAGCATCTCGGATCCTACAACAGAAGACATTAAAGCGTGACCCCAGGCAGGTGCCTGAAGTACACATGCACCCACGCACAGGCATGCGCGGCAGATCCCTGCGTCACACAGGAATAGTCTGACTGCTGCTTTCCCGTGATGCCAGCACGTGACACGCCGAAACGCCGACGTCTGCTTTCCCCGTTTCCCTGCAACAGGCCATCTGAAGTACCACTGCCGACCAACCGCGATACTCCTGCCTCCACACTGCTCTAGTCTCGTCCTGTAAATGGAGGGATATGGAGAGAGGCTGAAGCACATCTCCCAGCACAAAATTCCTCCTCCTACGTCGGAGGCTCACTCAGTACTACCAGTTTTTATAATAGTTCTGGCCCAACAGTAAAAGGAAAAACAGGAGCCCCACTCAGTGTAAACGGTGTATTTGATTATGAATCGGCAGGGGGTTTTTTGTTTGTTTTTTTTGGGGGGGGGTGGTTTGCTATTGGGCGCATGTGCTCACCAGAAAGACAGAGAGAAACAGAGAGGCAGAAAGCGAGAAATCACCCCCCAGGGGGGATGGCCACGCCGCAATCCCTTCTCCTCCATTCTCCTCTCGGGATCCTGGGCACGCACACACACGCGCCCGGGGTGAGTTTAAGCCACCAGGTCCAGGACTTGAACCACACTTGACTGCACAGTGACATAGCCATTACGCCAACTGCTGGTCCCGTGAATCGACAGTTTTGACTGTTAACGATTCTCACGTGAGCACTCACGCTAATATACTTTTGTCTGGTCATAAAAGTCACATGCATAGACCTTACCCTTACTAGATGTCACTTTACACTCACAGTGAGTGGCCTTCAGTAAACCGCCATGGATTTTCTCTGGACATTTTGGCTGAGTCCAAGAACACACGAGTTCATATTGTGCCTTCAAGACTATGAAGCTTCGGGGCCACATGGTGGCACAGCAAGACCTCCCTGTGCACAAGGACACATGTGTTCATGCTGGGCACGTGTGTGCCCACGATCTGATCTGGGCTGGCCAAGGCTGGGGTGGACCATGGCATCAAGACCTTGCAGGGGGCCTCTTTCTCTCTCTCTCTCTGTTTCTCTGTCTCATGGCATAAATAAATAAACTTTAAATAGAATAAACTTCTTCAGGAGCCACGCAGGTCATTCTGCTACAGCCGGTCACTGCTGGGACACTGCCATTCTCTCAATTGACAATGTCTTACCTTTAATGACCAAGATGGCTGGCATCGGCTTGTACTAGAAAGCTATGTTGTATCATTAATATAAAAAAATCAGTCAAGTCAATTGCTAATAAGATAACAGAAATGTAAAGGAATTCACGTGACCTTGAGAACTCTTGCACTGTTCACATCTCACGAGGGTCCTCCACAACACGTGGACTATAACTGAAGACACGTGAAGGCCACGGACGTGAGACGGGGTCTCTGCGCCCACAGAGTGGTGACGTTCTCACGTCGCAGAACGCTGCGGTGACCACACACGGACACGTTTCATTCGTGCGAGGTTCAACAGTTCCAGTAAACCGCTGACGTTCCCAGTTCAAAACCATCATCCCTTTTAGGCAGCCACCTTGTTAAAATTCTGGAGTCCAACTCAGGTACTCTGCTTGTAAAGAAACGCTGCATTCTGTCCCAAACCAGGCACTGGTCCTTACTCTTCACAGTGTACGTAAATGAACGTGCCTGGCAGAACAGAAACTCACCAAAATCGGATGAGTCTGGCTTTTTAGGTGGTACTACGTTAATGTAGAATTTTGACCTTTCACATTTTAGCAGTACAGTTTTTCTCTTCGTAAGTCACTGAAAAGCAGTAATAATAATTCAGACATTTACTCATTCATTCATTCATTTGCAGTTAATCAACAAAGAAGTTTTGTTCCATAAATGATTTTGATAGAATTATTTTTTATTTATCTTTATTTATTTTTAATTTTGACAGAGAGGAACAGAGTGAGAGAGAGACAGAGAAAGAGAGAGAGAGGGAAGGTGAGAAAGCAAGCCACCAGGTCCAGGACTCAAACTGCAGTTGCCCACGGGGGAGTCCAGCGCCCTTAACCACCACACCACCTGCTGGCCTCACCAGAATTATTTTCAAGAGTTTTTATCCTCATCTTCCTGTTGCACTATTGTTTTGTAATAGTTGTACTGAGCTTCTGCACCTCAGAATCCTCAGGGGAGTTTGCTGAACACAGGCCGTGGGCCCTTCCCAGAGTGGCTGACTCAGTCTGGGGTGGGATCCCAGAAGACGCATTTCTAGCAAGTTTCCTAGTTGATGTGCTCAGTCTGGCTGCCCCATTTCCCGAGCCACTGCCCTAAAACATTTAAATCGTATGTCCTGGGACATTCCCTTTAGACGAAGGGGGGCAGTGGGACTTTCACTGTGTAACTGAGACGCGAACCAATGGCCTCTACAGCCTTCTGTCTCAGCGCTCTGCTGTCTCTCAGGTGACTGCCAGCAAGTGCCTAGGACAGTCACCATGTGCAGTCACCACCCCACCTCTCCTTACTGCATCGCTAACGTGTAGACAACCCGTGTGCTGACAGGGAAACCAAGCGAGCATACAGACATGGAGCCGAATGTCACTTAATAGTAGCGCTTCCCTCGGGGCCGACAGGTGGCGTGGTGGTTAAAGGTGCTGGACTCCCACATGGCCAGCTGCGGTTCAAGTCCCAGATTTGGCGGCTTGCTATCTCATTTTCCCTCCCTCTCCCACTCTGTGCTCCTCTCTGGTCAAATTGAAAGAGGAAAGAAAGGAAAGAAAGGAAAGAAAGGAAAGAAAGGAAGAAAGAGAGGGGGAGGGAGAGAGGGGGGAGGGAGAGGGGGAGGGAGGGAAAGAAAGAAAGGAAAGAGAGAAAGAAAGTTAAATAAAATAATTCTTTCAAAAAAGAAAAAAACAATGCTTCCGGGGACTAGCAGATGGCGTAATCGGTACATTGCTAGACTCCCACACAGTCGACCACAGTTCAAGTCTCAGCCCCAGTGGCTTAAAACTCACACCAGACACATGCGTGTGCATGCCCAAAATCTCAAGAGGAGAATGGAGGAGAAGGGATTTCAGAGTGGCCATCCCTCTGGGAGTGATTTCTCGCTTTCTGTTTCTTTGTCTCTCTTTGCCTTTCTGGCGAGCACACACGTCCTATAGCAAAAACCTCTCCAAAGTAAATAAATAATAAAATAATAATTTAGCTTAAAGGGATATAACTAAATACATAATTTAAAACTATGTTTTGACATAGCACAGATTTGACAGCAGAAGATGGATATTTTTCTTTTTTGATAAAATTATTTTTGGTCAGTTTAGTATAAGAAATTCCCACTGGAAATCATTTATGTTGAAATAAAATAAAATAAACAAATTTTAAAAAATAATGTGCCTTGCAACATTCTAATAGTTTAACTAAAATTCTAAATGATAATAAATTTAAGTTCAGTTTAGGCGGTTAAAAAAATAGACAAAATTTGGGAAATATCAGGCTTTCTTTTCCCCCCGCCCCCCAGAGGTTTTTGCCAGAGAGTACAGTGCACTCACTGGAGAGAGAGCGAGCGAGCGAGTGAGCCAGTGGGGGGGAAAGTGAGGAACCACCCCTCACACTGCAATCACTCCACCATTCTCCTCCTAGGATCTTGGGCACACAAACACACCTGCCAGCGTGATTTTCAAGCTATTGGGTCTAGGACTCGAACAGTGGTCAGCCATGTAGGAGTCCAGCTGTGTAACCATTATGCCATCTGCTGGTCCCATCAGGCTTCCTTTTTTTATTATTATTTTATTTTGCCAGAGGTCAGGTGCACTCATCAGAGAGAGAGAGGGAGAGAGTACCCCTAAAGGGCTGCGATCATACTACGATCCCTTCTCCTGCACTTCTCCATTCTGTCAGAATCTGTCTTTCAAGCTGCTGGGACCAGGATTTGAACTGCATGGAGGGTCGTGGGGATCCACCTCCAACCACCAGCGATATGGCCCACCTGGCCCTCAGGCTGTCCTTCTCTACTTCAGATTAGTCACATTACTCTCAAGTCCCAGGAGCTGGCTGTTAAAGGGTGGTTTTAAAAAAATATGAACATGAAGAAGCCACGGCAGAGACTGCATGTGGCCTGCAAAGCCTGAAATCATTACTAGCTGGCTTGTGCAGGAAAAGCTTGCTCCCCCTGCTCTGCAATAGCCCGGGGGCATCATTTTCCCTGCCTGCTGATTGACCAGAGTTGCCTCTGACCAGAACCAAATCACAGCCAGTTTGGCCCCTTGTTTATTATTATTTGAAAACTAAAAACCCTGTTTTGTTTAGGCCCTTGCAAATTACTGGGTTGTCAGAAAAGTCATGACATGCTTTTCTATGCAAAAACGTGCCAGGACTTTTCTGAGAACCCAGTACACTGCATGGTTACTCTTCGAATGTAAGTTGTGGGATATACCACTAAGGAGGGAAAGAACTGACCCATATTTTAGCTCCTGACTAGGTACTTCTGTGCACAATATAAAAGACTCATTTTAATACAGACTTCCACAGCCTGGATTTCTGCTTTGTCACGTACAGCTTCCTAATTAAAAGACCAGTTTTCCACCTTCCCCCGTGTTGACCTAATTCCACTCGTTTCCTGAGCACAACTCCACCCACTTCATTCTAACGGGGGCCTGCTGGGTGTCACTGGCTGTGCTGGATGCTGGGACAAGGCTGTGACCGGAACGGGCACTCCGAGGGCACACTTTCACTGTCCACGGGCAGCTAAGGAAACTACAGTGACAAGAACACAGCTCAGAGTGGCGGGCACAGGAGCACGTGTGCAGAAGGAAAGAACGCAAATAACCACGGCGCTCTCGATGACATGTCAATCATCCTGTTCCCTCCCCCTGAAATTCACGAGCATGCACCAGTGGCTAACCATCATCCAAGAAACCCCAGTTAGGGCTCATGCAACAAGTGAGAAAATGCATGACCACAAATGACTATTCAAAACAGGAATCTTTAAGGAGGCTGGATCCCGCATGGCTGGTTAGA